AAGCCTTCCACCCAATACGCGGGGTGAACATGGTAGAACTATCTTTGCGAGAAATGCATAGAAATGCGATGTTGTAACTCTTACACTTCGGAAAATGTCAGGTGGAGCTGTGGAGCTACCTTCCTCAACAAACGAAACCAGAAACCACCGGAAACAGGATGAAAAAGAACAGCATACGACAGCCCTTGCAGAATCGAGCCATGCTCGGGGCCATGAGGAGTCGAGCATGGACTCAATATGACTCAATACTTTTGTGTTAACTTCCCAACTACTGTTGCCACACGTTGCTACAGTACCTGTGTGGTTAACATGATGACGTGAAAACTGAGCATAGACATTTGTCCACAACTTGGAAGTTTGCTAACTAACTTTCCTTTGATGAATCCGAGATAGGTTGCCCGTGCTTCTGTTGACTGTCATTGACTGTCTAAAAAAAACTTGGTTGCTTGCGACTTGTGGGGGCATCTCCGTTCTTAAACCTTCTTTACAGACTGACCAATGTATTTTTCTACTCGTTCAAAGATTTCAAAGGCTGTCTTACTTGAGTTGGGGAAAAGTTTATGCCAGGTGTCTTCGAAGATACATCACGAAAGCACCAAAGATCCACGGCTCCATGTCCTTTGGAAGGCCGGAGCAGAAACTGTTGGCGGCTACCCTTGAGCCGTCTTGCCGCGTCTTACCTCATTTAATTATAGTTTTGGGGAAAAAATCTTCGGTGTCTGCTCCATGTACATCTGTTATTCTTGTCTGGCATATGTAGGACGTAGGACATTTCGGGCACGCAACCCTGAACACCATGAATTGCTGCAGACTGCAGACCCACAAAGTTCTCATCGGTCCTCTGAGCCGCTCTGCTGCAAGAGTGGAACATCTAGGCCACTGCTGTCTTCCATCATGCTTTGGTCATGCATTCGCAGGACCTGCCAAGCTGATTAAGGCCCCTCAGCCCCTCAGCGCCCTCAGCACCTATGGCCTACAGAAATGGGGAAGTCCATTGCTTATGACCACCCAAGTAGTGATGACCAGCTTTCATATGCTTGGGACTTATTGATCTTATTGGGACTTTACGTCTGCACCTGGGTGAACTTCCCACATCCAGATGGTGCTTTCACTCTCTGGCTCTCGGCCTGAACCATAGCCCCACTTCGAAGCGCTGTAACCAAAGTCTCGAAAGTCAGCTTGCACCCACGGCTGCGAAGAACTTCGATCGTGCTTTCCGAGCACTGCTTCCCTGAGAGGGGCTGCAAGGCTACAAGCGCGCAGCACAAATCCTCAACCTGTAAAATCCTAAAGCAAAGAGCCAAAGTTCCTGGAGCACTTGATTCTAAGCCAAGCAACAAATAGCAGTGGAAAGCAAGGACTTCGCTCTGAAGACTTTCGAGAAAGTTTCTCGAGCAGTTTCTATCCGAAGCTCAAGTTTCCACGGGTGGTAATTGCAATCTATTTCAACACCTTTGAAGCGGATCAGAAACTTGTGGTTCCTCAGCAGCGTCTGAGTGGAATGTTGAATGCAAAATCGGCGGAATCCTGAACGCCTTGGTTTGGTGTTGTTTGGTGGGTTCTGCACTTTGCTTGCTACAACCCAGAATCAAATGGAAGTTTGAAGCGGTTTCAAAACAGGAGCCTTCCTGAGCCATACTCATACATGCATAACTCATCATACCTGGTGCCTGGTCTCCTAGTCTTACCCTCTCTAAACCTCTCTCTCTCTTACATGGGTTGCACATGGGGTCCACATGGGCTGCACATGGGCTGCACATGGGTTGCACATGGGTTGCACATGGGTTGCATGTGCAAAAGTGTTGAAGTTTCCGATGGATCGCTGAGAATCGGCTCCGAGTCTTCCATCCAGGACTTGTACTCACTGAACTTCTCAGCAAACCTCCAATCACAGGATCGGAGCTTTATTCCTGAGCTGGCATCACATGCAGGGAGAACATGCATCCCATGGGCTTACAAAATCTTGCGAAGACTTTTTAACTCAGCTTGTTGTCTCTGTCGGTCAATCTCGCAGATAAAGCAAAGTGTTCCCGAATAGAATTGAAAATGGCTTTCAACAAGCAGGCAACTGCAGCAGCACTAACCTTTTGCTATGCAGCTGGCCTGCGCGGCTGGATTTTTGTTTGATGCCACATGCATCATCAGTTTTGTTCCCTCCAGGAACCACTTCCAAAACTAGTGGTGGTGTCACGCGGCATTTTCACCCGGCCGTCGAAGCCAGGGGCTTTCGCGTCAGGTGCTAGGAGCAACAGAAGTGCTCAGACCACCACGTCTATCCAGAAAACAGCCGCTACATGCCGCTACCACCAGGCTCCCTAGAACCTTATATAGGTGGCTTTTGGATCGGTCTTACGTCTCTTGGAGTTCGGTCCGGATGGTTAGTTGCCCAACAGAGACCATAGAAACTTGAATTGGGTAAAAGCCTCGCTCACAGGTAGTTGCCGGTCAGGTCGGAAGCGAGCAAAGTCAGGATGAGCAAGTTCATCAGCCCACTGGTTGTAGTCCCTCTTCATGTGTGAAGGAGCCAGTTGTACCCCTGCCTTACGGAGCAGGTGGGCATCTGTTTGGTCCTTTGGTTCAAGAGCGCAAAAATGTTGCCTTGGTTGTCGGAGATGAGGCTCGGACGGGTTCGGAGGAGAGCCTTGCCTGCCTTGATCAGGAGGAAATGGGTAAGGATCAGCGTGCCAAACAGCTCCAGAGCAGAAATTCGACGAGTGGCCCTCTTTGTGTGCCCAAGGGTGGTCCTCCAACGGAACCTGATAGTGAAACCACCAAGCGTCCTCTTTTGAAAATTTTCCTTGTCCGCTAACCATCCTCCAATGTATGCCCGTCCATCTGGGCGTGCACTGGCATCACTGTCCCCCCACCAGTTCGATGCAGGATCATATCGGCAAGGTTGGACCTTGAGGATAGTGGAGGAGATGGAGTAGTAATTGCGCAAAGGAGCGGATGCTTGCTTGGTCTCCCTTAGGTAGTAGTTGCCGCTTTCCACGCCAAGAAAGGTTGAAGGAATGGACGACTTAGTGGGCATGCAAAAGTAGCCCACTTAAGCCTGCCCAGGGCTTTCTCAATGTCCCTGGAAGGACGGTCTTCTTTTCCATGGGGAAGCCTACAATTGAGCCACACGGGTTGACCTGAAACCCAAGCCATGAGTTGACCTCAGAAAAAACAGTTTTGCGCCAGTTAAGAGGGCAACCAAGAGCTGCGAGAAGCAGAAGCGGCTGAAGTGTGTCCTGGGTTGCCGTCTCAGTCCTCAAAAGCCAGCAAAAATGATCAACAAAGACAAACCCCCGGTCAATGCGCGGGAAGATTGCATAGCAGAGTCTGAGTAGAACTGCTGCCATCCTGCCCCAATGTAGCTGGGCACTCGCCATGCCATAGGTGCCGACCTTGTTGACGCACCATTCACAGTCCGGCTGTGCCACCTGGAAGCGCCAGCCATCCTGGGTAACTTGATTCTCTGGTGGGCCTTCGTGACATCATCTTTGAGTATCGCCCATGTGGTGGTCTTCTGATGATGTTTCCGCCCCATGGCAGTGCCCGTGGCTACTGCTGGGGTGGGGTCCTCCTTATTCGTATTCAGCCAGTGAATGGTTTGGATACAGTCCATGACTGTGGGCGTGGGCGCTGTGGTCTTTTCCGCCGTCGCCATTTTGGCTCGAGTCTCCTGACCTTGGGTTTGTTTGTATCGAAATTACTTTACTTCGAGTTATCCCCACCATGACATCTATACGTTTCGTTACTGGCAAATCTTCTGGCATTCTATCTGACATATCTTCTGGCATACCTTCTGGCATTCTATCTGACATTCTATCTGGCATACCTTCTGGCATTCTACCTGGCATATCTTCTGCAATATGTTCTGGCATATCTTCTGGCACTCTATCTGGCATATCTTCTGGCATTCTATCTGACATTCTATCTGGCATACCTTCTGGCATTCTACCTGGCATATCTTCTGCAATATGTTCTGGCATATCTTCTGGCACTCTATCTGGCATATCTTCTGGCATATCTTCTGACATTCTATCTGGCATTCTATCTGGCAAATCTTCTGGCGTTCTATCTGGCAAACATTTTGGCACTTTATCTGGCATACTTTCTGGCATTCTATCTGACATTCTATCTGGCATACCTTCTGGCATTCTATCTGGCATATCTTCTAACATTCTATCTGGCATATCTTCTGGCACTCTATCTGGCATATCTTATGGCATTTATCTGGCATATCTTCTGGCATTCTATCTGACATTCTATCTGGCATATCTTCTGGCATTCTATCTGGCCGTTGAGGTCCAGCGGCGCGCACTGAGCTGGGAAGGTCCCAGGTTGAGGTCCAGCGGTGCGCACTGAGCTCGGAAGGTCCCAGGTTGAGGTCCAGCGGTGCGCACTGAGCTGGGAAGGTCCCAGGTTGAGGTCCAGCGGTGCGCACTGAGCTGGGAAGCTCCCAGGTGCGCACTGAGCTCGGAAGTTGGCGAAGAGCTGGGCAAAGAGTTGGCAAGGCGGAAGTGGAGGTGGAAGTTGATGCAGACATGGTCGAGGAGAAACTGGAGGAGGAGGCGGAGGAGGAGGAGAAGGAGGAGGAGGACAACAGCTCTGATAAAATCTAACAACCCTCACCTGGCAGGTGCGGAAAACACTCGATCCTCTCTTTGGCGTAATGGCTGCCACGGACCCGTCTTCAAGCCCTATGGCGTGTGATACTGTGGCTTCATTTTCGGTGTTGGAAGAAGCTTCCTCGGTGGGAGACGACTACTTGCTTTAGATACCCCCACGTCACTTTCTGCACGCCCTGTTGGCCAGGAAGAGGCCCAACCATTTGCTCCGAGTTTGGTCGACCCAGATGTGATCATGACTAAGGAAAACTTTGAGGCACAGCTCAATGAACTTCAAGACAGTGTGTCTCGCCTGGGCCTGACCGCTCGACTTCGGGTCCACTGCCGGGCGCACAGACCATTCCTGTCCCCCCGGTAGCCGCTGGCACCGAGGGAGCTGGACAGCCTGCTCCGCCATAGGGCTTTGTTAAGGCATCTCAGCGGGGACCTTCATGATCGAGGGCTGGGAGACCCTGCTGCTGCCAATTCCGGAGTCGGTGGCACGTTTTGCTCGTGCAGTAACACATGCGGAATTCAAGGCTCTCCTTTCAGAGTTTGCGACTACTTCCTGGCAGGCCCCTTTGGTGGCCCGCATCTTGGAGGTCTACGTCGTTGACAAAAGGTCGGCAGATTACAACCAGCTGCTCAAGGTGAAGCACACCTCCATGCAGGGCGACTCGATGGACGACCTCAAGGAGAAGGACCCTGGCTCCCTGCCATCTTCCCTGATTTGTGCGGACTGCAACACTTCTTGGGGTAACTTGCCGAAGTGTCTCCTCTGCAAAGGCACGAACACGATTGACTTGTCATCAACCCCCATGTCGGTGATTGAGGTGGATGGTCAAGTGTGGCGCAACTTAGGTTTGGCGACTACATTGAGGCGAGCGACCTGGGCAGACCTCCTCCGGCAGCAGCCTCTGGCGCTGACCCGTCGCTGGTCGGCTTCTCTGAACAGGTGCCGGAAACTCAGAGAATCACTCTCAGCAGATCCAGACCTTCGGCCAGGACGGGATCTTCCATCCAAAGGGCGAGAGGCCCCCAACCTTGGAGGAACAAGATGGGGACCAGTCCGCGGTCATCTTCCACCCAAAACCCATTGATGTGGTCCAGTTCAAAGCCAACCTGCTCTCGACCGAGGCCAAGGAGCTCGATGCCGAGACCCAAGAGGCAAAACGCCAGAAGTTAGCAGCGCAGCAGGAGGAAGAACGCAAGGACATGGACCAGGAGCTGGCAGTCTTGGTTGAGATCCAGAAAGTGCTTTTTCGACACAAACAAACCCAAGGTCAAGAGAGTTGAGCCAAAATGGCAAAGCCATTTTGGCACCTATATCGACAACACATTACTTGCTCTCCACAAGTTCCAAGCAAAGAAACAATTATGCTTTGAGTTTAGTTCTCAAGAGGCCCTGCCCGAAACTGGATAAAAATTGACAAACTGGTAGGACTAAATCAGTCTGGTTGCTAACTCTGTGTGTGGTGTGCAGGAATGGAAATATTCGCTTTCCCATGAGATCCAGAGATTGGTTCTGAACAATGTTCTCGCCATTCTTGGTGATTGTTGCCTCACCCTTGTCAATATCAACAGCCAGTCCAAAGACATCAGAGTCAGCCCAAACGGTATCTTGGCCATCCCACCATGTGGTGGATTGGTAGGGATCAAAATACGGTGCCTCGCAATCCTCTGGATCCTCCGTCCAGCCATCTTCGTGGAAAGCAAAGCCCATGAAGTTCCCCTCCTTATATCTGGAGAAGCTCTCTGTTGCCCATCCAACCATTCCCCACCAAATAGGTTCAATGCTGGACATCTCGACTTCGTAGTAGAATTTCCCAGAGCCCTCCAAACCACCTGGAAGTCCAACTGCTCGGAACGGGCTTATCTGCATGACTTGTAGACATGTGGAAGGTCCTTGACATTCACCGCGCACGCCGTTCAAAAAGAACTGCGGCACGCCGCCCTGCTCCATCTCTGCCAAAAAAGGATTGCGGTAGAGCCCGATAGACACATCCACACTGCCGACAGCAGACTTTAGACAAGGGCTCGTGTTCTCCACAATGTCCATGAAATCAACTTCAATGGTACAGGGTTCTTGCTCTGTCAGTCTGTGTATTCTGCAAGAATACAGAGGTTTAGTCTCGTCGAGCGGTTCTGGAACAAGCCAGATCTTTGCCAAGTCGGGCAAGTTGTTGCAAGAAATATTCTTCAGCATACACTCGCTTTCCTCCAATAAGCCTTACAAAGCAGGGAATGCACTTTGAGGTGGCTTACGATTGGATGAATGCATGCACACACCTGATCGAAGAAGTGAAGCAAAGCCAAGGAGCATGTTGACAAACAGCTCGAGAATCCCGGCTCTGTCAAGCCACTCAATCCCTTTATGTCCACTTGCTCTGCTCCCAACCTTTGACGAGTTGATACAAGCGTCATAAGGTATTATTGTAGTCGGAAAATTATCAAATCATTGTGGTTCCTTCTCAGTCAATGTGGCAGTCACGTCTTGTTGCTCAGAAACTGAGATGTTTTCACTTTGTGCCAGTATTTCTCATCGCATTAGAGCACCACTTCATGCCCCGGTTCACTTTGCAAACCAATCATGTCAAAAGAAAACATGGTTGGCTGGATTTCTCAGGCATGCTTTTCGTCCCTGCAACTGTTCTGTTGTTTCTCTCTGCAGATAAAGCGCTCACTGCCCAAAGATACTGCCAATCGCGCCACAGTTTGCACACGCCGGACTAGAGGTAAGTGCCAGCCGTGCTCCAAGGCCACATTCAAAGGCTTACCTTCGTCAAAATGCACTGGAAGAATCAGAGAAACCTAGACAACACATGCTGCCTCTAGCCTATACCCATGATTCATGTATACTTTAGTCTACATAACTACATAGATGGTCTAGTTCTACCGTATGGTCTAGTTAAGTTCAAATATGTTCAACTGGCTTGTAACTTGCATTGCAAACCGGTGGTTGATCTCAATTCTGTCATCCGGAAACGGCGCGCTTTCGCGAAATAAAATGTGCTTTCGCAAAACTGTCAGGTTCCATGTTGGGCAATGTCTCATGGAGACAGGACTCAGTGATTACTTGCCAGACTATCATGGATTTACTTCATAATAGCCTTGTAGACACCCAGGTAGCATCACAAAATCCCTCCTCTCGACAAATATGCAAGATCTTGTAAGACTTGCGGGGCCATTCTTGGGCGATCCCTTTCAAAATGCGCGTTCACACTCGCTCGCTCCTTCGCATCACTTTCGCAAAAATGTCCAATAGGTCGTATGCATTTTACTTTAATGTTGATTCATAATGATTCAGGATATCGAAGTCTGGGGAAACTATCGCGGAATATCTTGTTCCTTTCGCAGGCTCGAAAAAATGTGCGCGAGTGTTCGAACATGATATGAAGGGGTCTTCACGATCATAGCTCTTTTGAAAGGACCTTGAGATCAATACCCAAACCCATCCAAACCATTCCAAACCCATCCGAACCCATCCAAACCTCCGGTTGTTCCGGTTGTTCAAAACATTTCAAGACCAAGAAACAGAAATCATCTGCCTTGAGCTTGAGGAGCTCCCGAAACGATGAAGATTTGAACCATTTTCGCCACACCTGGGAGTCCCATGGAGTCCCGGAGTCACAGAGCGAGTTCCGTCCCGCTTCCCCGCACAAACAAAAAAGATTAGAAAAGCATGTGTTGGATAATAATGATAATATTTGGATTTTTGGATGTTATATGATGTTATTTCTAAAATGTTCTAAACATATGAAAACCACCACTGAGATTGCAGCTGTCTCAAACCAAGGTATATTGGATGCTGCTTCCACAGCATTGAGGCCATCGGAGTCCTTGGTTTTGGCAATCTTGGCCACGTGACTCGCAATTTGGCAATCACTTTCAATTTTGCCATCTTTGGATATCTTTTGTCCAAGTCGTTTCAGGAGTCATTGTCCTTGGCATCTGGAAGATCTTGAACCGTGTCGGAATTGCGAATTGTGCCAAGGTTCTCTCAGCCAAAGCAAGACATTGCACATTGTCAACATAGACTCGATGGACCTTGAAGCACCACTGACTGTCACTGGCCACACATATTTCATACATGTCAATGTCATTTCCCGAAGGTGTATGTGTGACGAAAGCGAGGAGATGCGAGGAGCAAGGAGTGAATGGGATGTCTGATTCTTTTGGATGTTACGGTCATATAACTCCAGAAAGACTGTCTCAAAGGATCATTTGACTCGGGCACCTGGTCAAGTCGAGCTCCCCCATGAGTACCACAGAGAGATCAGCAATTTCTGCTTGGAAGCGCTTCAGAGCCGGCTTTAGCAAACATTCCTGCCTTGGACAGGACATGTACATATACGTATGTACATTACATTGCCTGTAAAGACTCCCTTGGTACTCATCGAGTAGATTCTGAGTAGATCTCTGAAAATGGATACGGAAGGGCAATTCCAAAAAAAACAATAAAAACCCTAAAATTCTCTCGTTTCCAGGTCTTCAAGAGCAAAAGAGAAATGCAAAGACAGTTCAGCCATGTTCAACCGTTCAGCCTTGCTAAGGCTGGCACAAAGGCGTCCTTCCTCGCCGATTTTGACTCGTGATGTCGGCTCTTGCTTCGATCAACAAGCGAGCCACTGGAGGAGCTTTGTCTGTATTGCGTTTCCAATCATCCAACCCGTCCAACACATCGTTCATGCGAAGGGCCTTCCAGCTCAGTTTGTTCATAGGAATTTCATCTTTCTTGACCTCCAAGCAGGTCTGGAAGTAGCGCTCATCAAAGCGGGCGGAAGACCAATCATCACTTTCAAAGACCCAGCTCGGCTGCCCGAAATCATGTTTCAAACGAATGTAAACGTTCGTAGCCTTGTGAAGGCCAAGCACGGTGCCAAATTTTTTGTAGTAGAGATTACCATCTTCGTCAGACGCCTTTTGTGGGAAAAAACGCCCTTGACAACTTTGCACAGACGTGTGTCTCACGTGTATGCATCCAATGAAAGCCATCACGTGGTGCAATGGGGAGTTGCCGTCCTTGTCCTCACAATGCAAGCGTGTGCGACAGGCATGGAATTGACTCTTCTCCCAACTCCAAAAGGAGTTTCCTGATGTTTCCTAGCGTGTATTGAATGGCACCTCTATGAAACTTTCTGAATGCTTGGACATATATGGGCCTATGCTATGAATGCATTGCTATCAAACACTTCTGAAACACAATGAGAATAATGAGAGAGTCCTTTGCGTTCAACACTTCGTTGAGCAAGGTACTCTCCAGGAGTTTGCACAGCTCCTAGCACTCTTGAGCAGTCAACTCTGCAAGATCTGCAAGGAGTCCAGAAAGGAAATGAAAGGAATAAAAAAGAAAGGTTTGTGGATCACGGAATCATCACGGAATCATCACAGGCATCACACTTACCTTGAGAGATCTTGAGAGTCTCACAAGTTGCGAGCCACACCGCATTTCACATCATTTCACATCATTTCACCCCACCTCTAGGTTTGCAAGATCTCCAATGCTGGCCAGGATATGAACCAGCGTCCAGGCCTTTCAGGAAACACCCCTGGTGTCTGCGGGGTGCTTGAAGGCCTTGCAAATCTTATTTGCAGGCCTTGCAGGGCCTTGCAGGGCCTTGCAGGGCCTTGCATACTTATCATATCTTAGCATATTTCATGATTGGCCGTGTTTCAGTTCCCTTCACCAATGGACCAGAGTCGACACAGGCAACATCAGGCAACCATTCTTTCAGTCGTGCCATTTCGTGCCATGTCGTGCCTTCGTACCAAACCGCCATTCCACAGATTGAGGCACATTGTTCAGTGCTTCGGAACCTTAGATCTGTCAGATCTTGCCTTCCAAACAGTGGAATGGTGCTGACTGTGTTGACACTTGTCGCGTTGTGGCCTTCTGGGAGAACTGGGAAAACTGGGAAAACTCAACCACTCAACCACATTGCCGGGCGAAGTTGGAGCGATGTATCAATGTCGTTTGAATAGGAAGTTACTGCAACCTTCCAACGCACACACAAACGGCGAGAGAGAGAGAGAGAGACGCACATGCTTGTGTATGTAAACATAATATTATGTATATAAATATATATATATATATAATTATATATATATAATTATATATATATAATTATATATATATTATTGTTTCTTATTTATTATTTGATATAATTAAAAATAGATACATATATCATATATCATTATAATTATATATACATAGACCAAGCTGTGGCACGTGCACCTGCACACGCACACAAACCCAATCGAATGGAATTAGACCTTCGGGTGATACCTTTTCTTCGCGTGCTGATCATTTCTTGTGTTCGCGTTGCGTATCAATCACAGGTCCAACTGCCACGTTTTTGTGGTCTGAGTAACTCGATTGGTGGTTTTCAACTCATCCCAAAATATAGTGTTAATTGAGACCATCATCGTCATGTCAAATATAAAAAAACAAAAAATGAAAACTTGTGAAAGAATACTGTACTTGAAAGTGCGAATACCATTCCTTGTATTTACGTTAGACGCTAAGGCGCTAAGGTTGCTCGAATCCTGATTCAAACAGTGTGGTTTGCTTATGATGCTTATGTTTCGTTCAATCACTAGCATCAGTACCAAACAAAAGCATCATGCATTTGGTCAGTTGCCAACTAAATTCACCGTCCTGTTTTAAGGGAAATAACAGGGGCAATATGGGCAATGGTTCATGCCACATGTATGCTGCAACATGCTACAAAAAGGCCCAGCCCAGATTTGGAGTGCAGCTTACCCTCGAAGTCAACAGCTGCAAATGTGAATACCTGCTTGCCTGCTGTCTTCACTGTCTTCACAGTATTCACTGTTTTGACTGTCTTCACTGTCTTCACTGTCTTCATTCAAAAGAATTGCTTGAAAAGGTACGTACGAACAGGACTTGAAAAGGTGTGTGACCGTGTGATCCTTCTGAGATTGATATTTGCAGATGACGGTGCTGCCGATGCCACGTTCAAAATCTTCAAGGACAGGCAACCGAGAGTTATCCTCAAGGCATCGAAGATGCGTGGGCTGGCCACCTTGAAGCACCTTTGCACGTGGGAGCAATCTACAAGTGTGAGATTGCTGGAGAAATGCTACAGCAAATGTCGTTTCTCGCTTGAATCACACATTCCTAGCCTTGCTCAGGCCACGCCCGCAGTACAACAGAGTATAACAACACAATAAACTAACCAAGTGTTCGCTCTGTCTCTACCTCCACTTGAAGGACCAAAATCATTTTGGCGCGAAAGTACCGCTTCGCTTCTCACAGAATCAGTTTAGAGAGCAAACATCGCTACTTGCATACAGCATACACATCTTCAAAAAATGAAAAACATGAAAAAACATGCATTTGCATGCAATGGTGGAGAAAAGGTGGACATAGGTGGACCCAGAAATCCCAGAAAGTGACTCCCTCAAAATCTGACAACAAGACGGAAACCTACTTAGAGAATTAGTCGAAGAAAGCCATATGGATCCATATGGTCAATTTGATAGTTGGGCGAAACCCAACGTTCAAATGTTAAGAAGTGCATACAGTACGTGGTACTACAAGTAGTGGATACAGGCGGTCGCGAACAAGGTTCGGCGTTGGCGAAAATACGTGAAAATACAATCTTACACCATAGCATCCCATAGCCACATATTTCTGCCAACATCAGTCGCGAATGGCCTGTCCATTCCTTTCAGCCCGAGTAGACGTTTCTCATCGTTTCTCAGGATTGCACTTGTCCAAGTTGTTGCTATGACGCAAGAACTGTACCAAGTGCGGCCCTGGCAATGTCTCCACTATCATCTCCACAATGTCCTGGCGATTTGATCAGGCTGTGAAAGCAAAAGCCCTTGCCAAAAAGTGCTGGAGTCGTGTCACTGACGCTGAATGTAAGGTGCAACAATGGTGCAACAATGGGGTGCTTGCGAATCGTGGACTTCTTAAGAGCTCAGAATGCGGGCGCTGTAGTGGAGATGCAGGCACAAATCCAGACAAGTAAGCTCTGGGCACATCTGTTGCGCACTACTGAAACGCTGCATCTCTAGCTGTGCATATTGAGCAGCCAGCAAGTTGATCCAAGTTGTACAGTGTCGCAATGCGTCGCAAGGCCCTGCTGTTGGTCTGTTGGGAGACTGGTTTCAAGTGGAATCAAAATTGCTGTGGCCAAAGTCTGGCAAAAAGATAGCCTTAGGATGCCTTAGGATGCTGTAGGCAGATGTTTTTGACAAATCCGATTTGCCTGTGTGCCTTGAAACGCAGCTCCACTAACTAGCCCTTCTTCGAAGTTGCAGCGGGTTTGCTCCTATTTTTGTCGCATGTATTTGCTCCATTTTGCTCCATCATTTTCATTCTAGGATCCATATGATTGCTGTCTTCGGCTTTTTCTGGGTTGAGCACTGTTTTGCTTAGGAACCTGGAAAATGAAGGAAGCCACAACAGCCGGAGATTTTGATCCTCCTAATGCCATTCCAACATGTCTTGGCCTAGCTCTTGTCCTGCTCTACCGACAAGATTAATCAAGATTACAGTGGTGGTTAGTAACCTAACCGTGGAACCGCAGGAAGCTGAACCGTAGGAACCGAAGGGAGTGGAACCTAACCGTTGTGAACCTAACCGAAATAATTCTCCATGGAACCTGACTCCCGGTGCACTCGCGGTGCACGTGTTGCCATTTTTGCCTTGTGGCATGGTCCAAGATTGTCCAATCAGATCCACGCCTGTCGCCAGAAGACCAAGTGATTGGTGAAGTCATGAGAATTCAAAATTTCTACGAGTCGATGCAGCTTCTCGGTGCGCTTCAGTCGAGCCAGCATTTTCTCCACCAAATCCTGACCCAAAGCAGTTCTGCCGAAGAAGGTGCACAGTGACATGATGAGGTCCAAGTTAGCATGAAAAATATGAAAACGAAAGACTGGGAAGTAGTGGGTCAGGATCAAGCCAGCCCCAATCCCAGTGTCAACAAATACATCGTGCAGGTCTTGGTCTACGCGTGCCACTTGGCACGCTTTCGGCTCTGTAGGAGAAGGGCATGCGGTACGATAGCAAATGTAATCGTCTTAATCATAGGTGCGGGACAAACCCCAATTCAACTCTCCAATTGTGCACCTCAGCCCTGTGAGGTAGCACGAATGGGCTTGGTCAACATTCTCAAGAGCCCTTTCCTGATCTCTCCCGGTTGATCATGGATGATCATGGTTTCTTTTTGCAAGACAAGGGTCTATGCGTCTCAAATGCAAAGCGTAGTAAAATGGCGTGTCCTCTCCCCAAATAACTTCGAGTGGATCTCCACTGTCCAAAAAGTGCCCCACCTGGAAAGGGAAGTGGGACAGAGTATGGACCCCAAACCAGTCAAACCAGACAGGGCTTGCCTGCCTTGCCTGTGCTCGGAACTCGAGGTGAAGTGATCTTTGTTGGGAAGCTAATTTGATTATAGAATAGGGAGTAATAGGGGCAAAGCTCTGCGAAGATGGGGGATGCTAAAGTGATTTGAGATGATTTGAGTGTAAACATATGCTGGCATTACTCTTATAATGGAAAGTATGGCGACCAAGATACAAGTACAAGGAACAAAGAAAATCCACGAGAGAGAGGCATTGTTCGATATTTTCGGTAATTTGTTTGCAACATTACACAAGGCTGCTCTGAATCTGATCCAAAACTTTGACATCCTTTGCCTGGACTGTGGCTTTAGATGCTGAAGACCAAGCTTTCCCGGCTGGGTAAAGAGTCAGGAAAGACAACATCAGCCATCATCAGCTACCAGATTTGGTTTAGCTGTGATAGGTTGCTTCTGAAATTCGTGATTTCTCCCATGCGACTCTGACGAATGTTTCTGAATCATGAGATAGCAGAGTTTTTCTACGATCAGCTGTACACATGGATCCCAGGGTTGTTCCGGCACAAAAAACGTCCTATGAAGGGCATACAGGCAAATTTCTCTCTATCTCTATGTATGTACACATACGCATTGAATCGCATTGACATGTGAAAATGCATGTATACATGTCACTTTCAGATACATGCACTCACACACACACAACCTTGCATTGGAGTACATTACGCTGCCCTACATTTAGATTGCATAACAAAATACACTGCATTGCATTGTACTACACCACACTACATTGCATACATACTTACTATGCAAACAAAATGTGCTGTTTACATATCATAGAATCATATATCATAACGTATGTACATGTGCATACCTACGAGTGGCCTTTAGCAATTCTTGCCAAAATGCAAAGTATGAGGCTTACTGCTCCAGTCTTGTCAACTTGCATCAAGCTATGAGTGTGGTTTGCCAGAAGAGCACATTGAATCATCATAGGTTCGGCGTGAATGGATTGATGACCAACAGTCCAAAGCCACCTCATGGCTCTGCACGAGCACTGCCAAAGCCAACAGGGTCATGTTCAATTTGCAAGGTATTTTGAAGTCTCCTGTAGCAGTTTCGAAGAAGTGATCAAGGAAAGCCACATCCATACAATTTGTTCACCATATTTCACCATGCGGTTTAGATGAGCACTTGAAGGACAAACATTAAATGATACTAAATGCATTTGAACGCCTTTCAATGCCACATAGGAGCAGAAGTCTGGTGCAATAGAGATCATGGAGTTTCATCCAGCTCACAACGTGAAGCGTCATCAATCGTCAAGAGATTTTCGGAAAAGTTCAACCTGACCAGGACCTGACCAGGACCTGACCAGGACCTGACCTAGCCAATACCATCTGATACCTACAGTATATTACAGTATGCTGCCGTATGCGTAGCTCTTGGTGCTCACCTGAACAAGGCCCCATCGTCCTCCTTGCGATTTCAAAGGCTTCAGCCACGCCAGTCTAAGGAACTTGTTCAGCACGTGCGTCCACTCGTGGAAAGCCGCATTTTCAAGACCATGGCAAAGAATATCAAAGACTGTTTTGCCACCACTCTTGGCTGCCAACATATCTTCTAACGAATTGTCGTGTTTTCGCTCGAGAGCGGAAGTCAGGATCTTCTCAGTGAGCTCGATGTCAACCGCCAGCATGTCTTTGCCAAGTTCATCAGGCTCATCATGTTGATTCTCGTATTGGAGCTCCTCCGATTCTCTCGGCTGGAGGCCATGAAACATCATGAAACATCATGAACATCACGAAACATCACGAAACAACAAAAGTAGCATAATTATTCATGAAAGTCCATAAGATTCCATAAGTATTCATACAGATTCATGCGTCGCGATTGCATCTTCACCCTGGCGCCATTTGTCCTCCAAAACGATAAGCGAACGTTCGTCGAAGTTGCGGACGCGTTGGATAGGATCATTTGGGTCATAGTCGATCTTATAGCTCGAGTCTTCGGCCTTCCACATCATTTGAGCCCGACCTCAAATGTCATGCCAGCATGCCGGAGGCAACTGGGAGCGAACAGAATGGGTGAAACTGGTGAAACGTGAAATGCAAAAAACGCGTTTTGGCATGCGAAGGCTCTAACCCATGGAGTCAGATAAGTCAAATAAGTCGAATAAGTGCAAGGTGTTGTCTGACCTCCTGATGTTTTCTATACATTGACAGCTGTTGTGAAGGGGATAGTGATAGCATGTGAATGCATGTGATAGCATTCTGTTGGGTGATGACCTATCAAGGCACGTTCTCCTATTGGCTCTACTAAGTGCTGCAAAATTATCCTGGGACAAAAAATGTGTCAAGAACATCCCTGCCTTGCCTCTGGGATTCCAAACTGAAGAGGTCAGCCCATGTCTACGGAAAAACACGACGTAATTCCATTTACAGTATGAGATTTACTAAGCTATAGCAGATTGTGGCAGATCGTGGTAACGGTGGTGAATGAATTTGCTGTTACTGGCCTAAAATACAGGCTAAAGAAGGGGTTCAGAGGCTCCTTCATTCAAGTTCATATGGGATCAACAGGCCATCGGAAGTCTTTGCAGAACAACAGCCCACAGGTTTCCTGATGCATAATCCACTCAACTTGGGACAAGCATCGTTCACACAGGACTAACAAAGGCGTCTTTCCTTCATGGTTCGCAGCCAGACTGCAGTTGTTTGCCAAAAGAAGCCTTGGAAGAACGCGTGCATCCTTGCTCCAATAGACATGGCTTAGCAGTGCTTAACATATGCCCGGCAAAGTGCGCAAACAATTTTGTTTTCCACCTATTGCAGCCACAGCCTCACTAAGGCGTTCAAGTGACTGCTTGCGCTCTGTTTTGTATAGTTGGCACATGGAACCATAGTCAAGCATTGAGAAGAAAAAACACAAGCATACACAAAGTATCACAAAGTCACAATCCGAAAATCGAACAGTTCAACCCCGCTTACGCGTTTGACTCTTTGCATCCCAGGCAGCTTGCACATCTCAATCTGATCTGAAGGATTCAGATAGAATGCGTAGTGCAAAGGGGAATTTCCTTTTGCATCCTTGCCTCCGCAGCCAGTAAAGCCATCAAGAGAGAAGTACAGTAACTCAAACTTTACTAACTTTTTCCAAGTCTTACAAGAGTATCCTCAAGTGCCATGTAGGCTGTACATCGGACGACTGGGCACAGTATGGTTTCCTGCAGCTCATATCCGTTCCAAACAGATTAGGATCATTGCGACCATGAACGTCACGAGCATATGCGAATACGGTATAGAAAGTTATTGAAAGCGATGGAAAGTGCATACATCTTTGACATCTCATGCAGTTCACCAAGCTGCAGCTTTCCGCCAACCCTCGGTTCTGAGTCAAGATATCCTCCACGACTCTTTTGTCTCCAGCTTTCACTGCAGCCAACAAGGATTGATCGCCAAGCTTAATAACGCCTCAGGCAGACAGTCTTGGTATGTATTGGTTTGTCTGACGTCTGTCCAGCATGTCCAGCATCTCAAGCATGTGATGAGTTGCAATCATCTTCGATTTCGTGAGGCACCCAATAAGTTCCAATAAGGCAGCCAAAACACGTTGCACTTCTTCATTGAGAGTGGCAGTCTTATCGCCGTCAAGCTCTGGCTTAAAATCACGATCCATGATCGCTTTGATCCCATTCTCATCTGGCACCACTTCCAGCCATCCTTGTGCAATGCAGAAGTTGCACAATACGTGGACTCGTAACGAGCGTAACCCATGCAGTGATCAGGCAGTCATCAATCAACATAAATTGATGGCATGGGTCAAACGGAGTTGAAATCTGTTGTTTTAGGTAAAGTCGGAACAGTCTGGTGGAACAAATTCCATTTTGAGTTTCTACTTCTGGGATGCTGTGAAGACAGCTGCTGGACATGCTGCCAAAACGAAACGAGTCTGTTCTATGAAGGTCGTACATCCAACAGGTCCCAAACAAATTCCCAAAAAATGGCACGGCATGTCAAGTGAGCAATCAGAAGCTGAAAAGATCGAAACAAAGCAACAAAGCTTTGGTCAAAGACTTCGAGGATGCAGGCGTTCAAAAGTGAACCTGTTGAAACTACTTCATAGTGAAAGTTTTCATAGTCTGAATAGCTCCGACAAGTTGGTCACCATCACCACAACCAAATTGATGGCAACCCACAAGTAGCTGCGTTGCGAACTGCTGGGAAAGTCTTCAAAAATGTTCAAAACAGCTGTTGTTGTGAATTCATCACGGTATTTGGGGGGCACACATCCTTTGAGATTATTTGAGTGTGGCCGCTGAATTCAAAAGGATCTTGAGGAAAACAGCTGCCCTTCCAAATTCTACGTTCCACGAAACGTAAACCAAAGTAGCAATCTAATCATGAAAAAAAATCTTTCTCCTCGATATGTTTCTCTTGGTTTGTCAATGGGGAAAATTGATGAAATTTGGGAGTTGCTGTAACATGCTGTAACTACTGTATGTGGGATGTTGAGCCGTGAATCTCCGCGCTAGTTCCTTCGCCGCCTCGACGTGGTTCTGTTTCGCAGCCAATCGAAGCGGTGACAACGTGTAGAGTTGTTCGTCCTAGATGCGCTGAAGACCACACAAGTAGCAGAAGGCAGCTTTACAAGTACTGTATCATGATTCGAAATATGTTCTCAAGTTCGAATGTCGCAAGCATAGACGTGTTCTCCCGCTTCTATCATATTTTATCGTATCATCTTATATATACTGGGTTCTTCTGACCATAGTTTCGCCACGTCAAAAGACTAACAAACCAGATCGCAAAAGCAAATGTGGAGCCGCGCAACAGTCTTGGCTTCTGTTGTGAGATGTTGTGAGTATGCAAAAAGGCAGCTTGAACCAAGGGGCAAGAATTCTTCTTCGCTCACCTTCATCATAAGAAAGCTCGGCAAACTGATAGTCATCCTCACCAGGTTCCAGATGGTTCCAAACCAAGTACGCTTAGCTTAAGTGTTATTACACCTCAACAAAAAGATCGGAAATGAATAACTGGAGTCACCTTGAAAGTTCTACGGGAAGGCAGGAAGTGTTGAAATCGATTTGCAACGGCACGTGTTTGCTCCGCCCATTGGATTCACCACAAGAGAACCCAGAGCGTAACGGCGTAGCGGCATAGCGTTTTTTTGATCCAAAACAATCCGAGATCCGAGGGTCCACACTGGACCTACGAGTTCCTTCTGACGCTTTTGCTTCTGGTCCTTGCGATCCAGCTCAAACATCAAGATACATCAAGCAGAACCAACAGGAGCATAAGGACGGCGTAAGGAAAATGATTTTCCTGATTGGCAATTGGGTTCCCTGGCATTGCTTGCCAGAATGCCAGATTTTTTTTGTCGGGCCAAATCCTGTTCCAAACACGCACAAACCTGTTCCAAACCGTGAAAAATCTGTCTGGTGGAAACAGGTTCTCGGCAAGCACAATACTGAAAATCTGCTCCAGCTTTCCACCTATTACAAGAAATGGAAAGACTGTCCGAATTCTTCGTGACTTTGTGACAAGCATCAGCACTAGAAGGAACATGAAGAGACTGGCTCCGAAGTGGTTTTAGATGGTTTTAGAATGGTTCAAGCGTGCAAATGACATCAAAATGGTTTGAAAGATCATGAAATTCAATGATGCAGAGCCCGTCCATCACCCAGCCACCTGGTTGGAGAGCTTTGCGCAGGTGTTCTTTCGATTGTTTGGAAGCCACTGATCCAAGCAAATCTAGAATGACCCTAGCAGGGCGTGTGGCCAACGCAAAGTCAAGTCGCAGCTCAAGATTGCAATCTATAAAGTTTCAACATAAGTTTGTCCCTTCACTTTACACTTCCTCAAGAAACGAATGCAAAATGTTGCCTCCATGCACGTCGAGAATTTATGTGTGTAGGCATGTTGTAGAATATCTATGTGTACGTGTGCAGAATTCGGTTTGTGGCCTGGGACGTACAGCAAATAAATAAGTTGATTAATGAGTTAAAGTGTCCACAGGAGTGGCTTTTGACCTCTCTGGACGACTGCAGGTACACCAGATGCCCATCAGAACCAACACCCTGGAACCTATCAGGAACCTAATATGTTGGCCATGTGAAGATACGTGTTTTCATGTGTTCTCTCTCTAATTTTCGACCTCGAAGAACTGCAGGACATGGGCCTCTCTTTCGCTGTCTTGGGAGAGGACGTGCCTCTTTTTCCATCATTTGAAAATTTTACATCTTACTGTCTGTAATTACTCTTCTTTACCCTGGTTGCTGCGTCAACTATGGGTCAGCCAAACCTGCTTTAAGCAATTCTTGCGAGTGGATTGCGAGCTGCTACCGTGGAGCGAAGAAGCTTGTCGGCAAAAACAGAACAGGCTCTGGGAAAGCGGGCGGTAGAAAAATGCACGACGAGATATGCTTCAGTCCAGACAAACTCACCATCTGCCATCTTTCTCTTGAGATTTCCCATTGTGCCTAATGTGGTTTGATTACGTTTGATTTGTGATTTTGGTTGTGATCCATGTTGTCCGCAGTCAGAGGTTCAAAGGACGGACCGTACCGCACTTCCCAATGTGGTGCGACTAGTTCTGGCGCAGGCCGTGCTCAAGTCAGAACAAGTGACGGCAGTCCTGAGAAAAAGAGACTCAGCTGATTTGAATGCAGAAGATGCAGAAGATGCAGAAGTTGATTTAAGATCTTTTAAGATCTTTGAGGCCGGGGTTTTGTTGTTTCTTAATTATGTAGCGCAAATCTAGCCGGGAGTTGCTGCCTTAAAGCGCGGCAAATCCAGCCGAGAGTTGCTGGCTTATAGCGAGCGCCGCCCCAGGATGAAGAGAAAAAGAAAAGGATCTTAAATGATTTAAATGAATTTATAATATATGATTATATAATTAATATAATTAGCGACAATTTTTGACACCCAGTGTGTGTGTGTGGACTTGTTCAAACATGTTCAAACATGTTAATGTTATCTGATCTTCAGTTTTCTGCTGCGAATTTCTCCTTGTGGTGTCAGCATGGCCCTTCCAGGCAGAGCGCTGCAGTGGAGTGAAGTGATCCGTGGGATGCCGAGAGGCCAGCAGCTTCGGCACCTCCGCTGCATCCACACCACTGAAGAGAGCCTGCAAGGCAGGAACAAGCCAAGGTGAACTGAGGTGCACCAAAGTGCACTGTGTTTCACCAATGGTGCAGTGAGGTCAGGTAAGCAAATGACTGATATCCGATGACTGGTAGCTCCAGAAATGTTGATATCTCTCTAGATCCATGTTGACGAATCAAGTGTCCTACTTGAGCGGCAAACCCTGCCTCGATGATTTTGTGCGAGCAAGATGTCTTGGATACAGTCAACGTATGGAGATAATCCAGGATAACCGCATTCCGCATAGAATCAGGGAGCTTCTGCACGAGGTAAACAATCGGATCACAGGCCATTTCATGGTCTGTTTGGATCAGGTAATCCAAGGCAGTCTTCGCGTTGCTGTCTTTTTCTATCAAGTATAGATGATCTCTGTCCCCGTGCAATCGGTCGATCAGTATTTGCATGACTTTGCAGAAATCGACTTCTGATGGTTGCCTGCACAGCGAGTCGGTCACCGCGTCATTGGGCATTCATGTCTTGTTTTGCAGCGAAATCTAAAATCAACGCTTCTCTCAAACCTATGATGCAAAACGTTCATTTGAATACGTAACCACTAATCATGTACTTTCGAGGTGCCCTTACCCCTAGTGTGTGGTCTTTCATGGGACCTTGCTTAGCATGGTCATGTCACAAATGCTCCGACAGCACACAGCACCCCAATGGCTGACCTCGACAAATGATGGGTCAAGTTCTTCGTCAGAAGGTGAAGCGGGGTCTCTTTGCTCGAGTTGCAAAAATGCGGTAGAGCACCTAAATCTAGAAGATACCTGAGTCTCTCATTGATCATAGAATGCACGAGAGCGAGAGCAACCACCTCTTGCAAAAAGAATCAGCGGAGCAAAGGTGAATAGCAAGACATAATAGAACATCTGTGTATTGCAACAGTGAGCCAACAACAGCTCACACATAGCACCGAGATTCCATTAGATTCCCTTTCATTTCCCTCAAGGAGGCAAGATAGGCAAGGCACTTCACAGTCTCGTAGCTATGCGTCCTGGCCGCAAGATGTAAGGGACGCTCCTGGTGCATGTTCATCACCTCAGCTGGGTAGCATATTGCATCTTCATGCATCTTCTGCTTTTTACATGATTCGCAACGTCTTCAGATCCAGAATCTGTGCTGTGACTTGAATGGTTGTGCCGGTGTGTCACTATATTTTAGATCACATTACATTGACGTTCATTATGTGTCATGATGTATCTGTTGAAGATTCACACAACATCACACAACCATACAGAAACCATTTGACACTTCGTCAACGAACTCATACAGGTCATACAGGACCTTGCCAAGCAGCTTCTGGGTGTGCCTTCTTGTCACATAACAACTGCACCACTTTGTCATTGTTTCGATTTGCTGCCAAATGCAAAGCCGTATTATCCACGGGATCCCTCAACTTCACCAGCTTGTCTGGATCGTCCTGGATCGCGCCAAGATTCTCAATGCCGTGTTCTGACTGATGGCAACAACGCGCAATGCATCAAGGATCACATAGTATCACCCTCTGGTTAGGAAACGCTGCTTCTGTGACAAGCCAAGTTTACTGGAAATTAAAAACCGCCTGAAGCTGAATAGTACCTTCTCCTGTCCTACATTGAGGCTCGTAATTCCCATTCCACCCACAGTTCATGTATATAGTCCCCGAAGAGAAACATGCTGCAAAGTCCCATGCATTGCAGCAAGTTTCATTATCTGTAGAACTGTTTTGTGGAAGCTGAAACGGATCACATATATGGGCAGGAAATCATGACACCCTTGTGCTCGCAGAGTCCAGTAGAAATGTTGCCAAGTCAAGATGCAAAGAGACATTCTGAATCATTCTGAGTGAATACACAAATGTGGATTGCATCTACCAGTACAAGTTGTATCATGTTGTATCCAGGGCTTGTCAAAGTAGGTGCGGGAGGTGTTTTGGTGCCGGATTCGCATAAGTCTGAGGTGATAAATCGCACGCTGGTTGCGTAAAACAAAACAGATCAAAACAGGTTCTTGATACCCTCCTTCACCCTTGTCGTACAAACTCAAATTGACTTTGACTCAAACAGCACAAAACTCCCTCCAAATGTCTCCGTTCTGCCCTCGAGGACTGAGGGGCCTCCAAGAGCAACTTGACAACGGCGACAGCCTCCTCAAGGCCAAAGCAGCTCTGATGGGGGTGACGAATGCTGCCATGGATGTTACAGCTTGATTTTCTGGATTCTTATGATAGTTTAGTTCGTGCAACTCAGGGATGAGATGCCAAAAAAAACTGATGAAAACAAAACATCAAAAACCCGTGCGGCGCCTTTTCCGTAGCAATGGAAGCGAGATGATAGAATTGGATTTGGTGCTCTCGTAGTTTGGACAATTTCTCCTCCCAAGAGTCGTTTCGTCTGTGCCCCTGAAAACTCTTTGGGCACCGGCTTGACAGCGAAATCACTCTCTGCTACACAGTCTCAAGAATGATCAGGCATGACATGTCAGTAGAAAAAAGATAAAGCTTCAACTTTTGAACTCGTCAGAAGCGTATGTCCTGGAAAAAAATACACAAAGTGCGACCATGCTTAGAAGATCTTAGAAGCCACCAAGCCCTTCCCACTACCCCTTCTCACCAGCCGCTGGTCCCTAGTCATCCCTAGTCATCCCTAGCCATCCCATTCCTCCTCTTCTATGCCATCAAGCTCAGCGAGCAAGGTCTTGAGCTTTGCTTTTTTCCAAACATCAGAATCCACATTCTCAGCAAAAAGGTTCCGAATGTCATCGATTAGTTTTTTGCTGTTGGAATATCTTGGCAGAGCCTTGGAGATGGCCATGCAGAATCGACATACAGAATTGGCATGAATCTGCCACATGTAAGGCATTGTGTGCTTTCCAAGACTCACGAGTCTCCTGTTCAATGTGTCACTAGATGTCAGCCCAACTTCACCTACAAACATTTCATATCATTTTACTGCGTTCCACACAGCCCGTGTTGAACTGTATCCACATCCAAGCAGCGGTGCCGATCAATTCGGCTCGAAAGGAGACAGGTTGATCATCCTCGATCTCAACGGCAATGCGGTCAATGATGTCTTTCAAAAAGCCTCGGTACAATCGGGCAAGGCACTTGGATCCCTGCGTGTCGAGAAATCCAGACCAGCACAGCATGTCTTCTATGCAAAGCATGTATATAGAATCTTGCACAACATTGCCAGCTTTGTCACCTCTAAGACCGAACATGGCGGCATAGTCTATGATTCCGTAGTTGTCCTCATGAGGATTTGTCAGTCTCAAAATCCTTGGCAAGTTCAAGTCTCAGGATCATGTCTCAACAGTAAGCCAGGCTTGGATTCACCGATATTCATCAAGCTTTACACAGACTTTCGGATTCAGGAAACAATGCAAGATCATAGACAATGCCAGTTCAAATTCCCTGTGCCACAGATAAACGCAAAGAATGGTGAGAAGGGTAACACATTTACAATGCACGTGTTCAATGGAAGTACTACGAGTACAATCCAAGAACTGCACCGAACGCATACCCAGGCACCGCCAAAGGGTCTTGTTCTGGGACTTCAATTTCCGCAAAAATCCGAGAGCTCTTTCGTCAGCATTGGCGATCCGCGTCTGAATCGACTCCTTTGCCAGTAGGATTCCCTCCATCGCATACCATGACTGAAGCCACCCTGTGGACTCTCAAAGTGCAACACACGTTAAATGGCGTCAAATCATTGAAGCGTCTGTTCTGAAACCATTTGCACGACTTCTGTCCTGAGGACCAACGATTTCTGACCGACTCGTGATCGATTTGCAAATGGAAATGAAGGTGGGCACGATCAGGCTTTCATGAACTTGATCGTTCATGGCCACGTCCAGCGGACTTTGGTTCCCGACATCCTGCAACAAACAACAGCATCAACAGTTGGTAGTGTTTGATCAGAAACCTATCGATTCAACTTCCCAGGTCCTAAGCCATACGTAAATAATCAAAAATGATCATAGAATCATGAACATCATTTTTCCATGCCATTCTGCCATCTTGGAAACTTTCAAACGATAAGAACAGGGTTGAATTCATACGTCCTCGGCATACTTGAAAATGCAGCCTCGCCGTACCAGTTCTGAGCACACGTCTATGAGTCCTGCCAATTGCCGTGGCCAGCTGCAGAAGAGTCAAATAGGGAAGCAGGGCTCAATAATCGCCATGCAATGTGTGAGTCTGCATGATTTCGGCACAATTACAACAGTCTCATCTTTTCCAATCAGTGGGCCAAAGGACAAGTCCCTTTAGAAAAAGCCTGAGTGGCCCTTCCCTATTGGATTGACTTCGATGCTGGTCGTGTTCTAAATTGCACCCACATCGACTCTTGATTCTCAGCAGGAGTCCGTGCTTTGATGCCACGTGCAAAAGCGTTGTATTGCTCGGTTCTGCAGCAATGCCTCTCGCTGAAGAATTCACAACACAATATCGGTTCGTATGTAGAGATCTGACTGTATACACAGCCGACATTGGCAACAAGATCATAGTCTCACGTAATGACATGGAACATATTTGCAATGAAAACCAGCCTTCTTCTTTGATGCTAAGATCCACCAAGGCTTTTGACAGTGTCCTGCTGCGCAAATCAGGACATGTAAATGAAGTAGAATGAAGTTAGAATAAGTTAGATAAGGTCAAGTGGAATCCATGAAAGATGTTCAATGCAAGCATCTCGTCCTCACACGCACACAGGGGCGGCAGTAGGACGCCAGAGTCTGTCTGATCAATGTTCCTCGCCTTCCCTCCTGTTGCCTCTCGCCCTTCAGAGCTTCATCAATAAGAAGCCTGCTACAACTTTGATCAACTTTGCACATGAAGCCCAAGAAGCTGGATATCATGCTGCTAGGTCTACAAATGGTGGTCAACTCCAGAACATGCTAACCTAGTCAACTGGATGTAGTATGATGTAGTGATCCAAGCATGACCATCCAAAATATATCATATAACCCCTCCGGCTGCCACCCGCCATTTTCACAAGTCCACCCTTCACAACCAATGGTCCTCCTAGCCGACTGTTGGTCAAGCCGTCAATGTTTGCATACGGCATACGCCTTTTTAATCCTTTTTAATCCTTTTTTACATCTATTTTGTTGACAGTTCTTGGTTTTTCCCGAGAGCGCCTGCGAAGGGTTCTTCGTAAAAAAGCAGCCGTTATACTAGATCTTCACACCTTCACACCTGCAGATCTAGATCTTCACACTCTCACATCTGCCGATCTACATCTTCACCCCTTCACATCTGCTGATCTAGATCTTCACACCCTCACATCTGCAGATCTAGATATTCACACCTTCACACCTGCAGATCTAGATCTTCACACTCTCACATCTGCCGATCTACATCTTCACACCTTCACATCTGCTGATCTACATCTTCACACCTTCACACCTGCAGATCTAGATCTTCACATCCTCACATCTGCAGATTTAGATCTTCACACCCTCACATCTGCAGATCTACATCTTCACACCTTCACACCTGCAGATCTAGATCTTCACACCCTCACATCTGCAGATCTAGAGATCTTCACACCCTCACATCTGCAGATCTACATCTTCACACCTTCACACCTGCAGATCTAGATCTTCACACCCTCACACCTGCAGATCTAGATCTTCACACCCTCACACCTGCAGATCTAGATCTTCACACCTTCACACCTGCAGATCTAGATCTTCACACCTTCTAGATCTACACCTGCAGATCTAGATCTTCACACCCTCACACCTGCAGATCTAGATCTTCACACCTTCACATCTGCAGATCTCTTCTCGCTCTTCTTCTATTCTCTCTTAAGGCGGGGGCGGTGCCGCCGGAGCGCCACGAAACGCAACCCTTTCGCACGAAATGGACGTTGGACGTCCAAAACCTAGGTAAAATTGCGATTTTGAAGCGTCGCCGGCAACCCTTTCGCACGAAATGGACGTTGGACGCCAAAAACTGAGGAAAAATTGCAACTTTTATTGGTCGCGCGCAACCCTTTCGCACGAAATGGACGTTGGACGTCAAAAACTGAGGAAAAATTGCAACTTTTATTGGTCGCGCGCAACCCTTTCGCACGAAATGGACGTTGGACGTTAAAAACTGAGGAAAAATTGCGACTTTGAAGCGTCCCGCGCAACCCTTACGCACGAAATGGACGTTGGACGTCAAAAACTGAGGAAAAATTGCAACTTTTATTGGTCGCGCGCAACCCTTTCGCACGAAATGGACTTTCGCACGAAATGGACGTTGGACGTTAAAAACTGAGGAAAAATTGCGACTTTGAAGTGTCCCGCGCAACCCTTCCCGCGCAACCCTTACGCACGAAATGGACGTTGGACGTCAAAAACTGAGGAAAAATTGCGACTTGTGAGTTGTCAATCGCAACCCTTACGCACGAAATGGACGTTGGACGTCAAAAACTGAGGAAAAAATGCGATTTTACTTGGTCAATCGTAACGCTTTCGTCTGTGTAAAAGTGTCTGTGCGTAAAAGCGTCTGTGTGTAAAAGCGTCTGTGTGTAAAAGTGCCGTGTGTAAAAGCGGTTGTGTGTAAAAGCGTCTGTGTGTAAAAGGGTCTGTGTGTAAAAGCGTCTGTGTGTAAAAGCGTCTGTGTGTAAAATCATCTGTGTGTAAAAGCGTCTGTGTGTAAAAGCGTCTGTGTGTAAAAGCGCCTGTGTAAAAGCCTCTGTGTGTGAAAATGTTGTGTGTAAAAGTGTCTGTGTGTAAAAGGGTCTGTGTGTAAAAGCGTCTGTGTGTAAAAGGGTCTGTGTGTAAAAGCGCCTGTGTGTAAAAGCCTCTGTGTGTGAAAGTGTTGTGTGTAAAAGTGTCTGTGTGTAAAAGCGTCTGTGTGTAAAAGCGTCTGTGTGTAAAAGCTTCTGTGTGTAAAAGCGTCTGTGTGTAAAGCGTCTGTGTGTAAAAGCGTCTGTGTGTAAAAGCGTTGTGTGTGTGTGTAAAAGCTTGTGTGTGAAAATGTTGTGTGTAAAAGTGTCTGTGTGTAAAAGCGTCTGTGTGTAAAAGCGTCTGTGTGTAAAAGCGTCTGTGTGTAAAAGCGTTTGTGTGTAAAAGCTCTGTGTGTAAAAGCGTCTGTGTGTAAAAGCTTCTGTGTGTAAAAGCTTCTGTGTGTAAAAGCGTTTGTGTAAAAATGTTTGTGTGTAAAGCTTCTGTGTGTAAAAGCCTTCTGTGTGTAAAAGCGTCTGTGTGTAAAAGCGTCTGTGTGTAAAAGTCTGTGTGTAAAAGCTGTGTGTAAAAGCCTCTGTGTGTGAAAGCGTGTGTGTAAAAGGTCTCTGTGTGTAAAAGCGTCTGTGTGTGTAAAAGTCTCTGTGTGTAAAAGCGTCTGTGTGTAAAAGCCTTGTGTGTAAAAGCGTCTGTGTGTACTCTGTGTGTAAAAGCGTTTGTGTGTAAAAGTGTCTGTGTGTAAAAGCGTCTGTGTGTAAAAGCGTCTGTGTGTAAAAGCGTCTGTGTGTAAAAGTGTCTGTGTGTAAAAGCGCCTGTGTGTAAAAGCTTCTGTGTGTAAAAGCCTCTGTGTGTAAAAGCTTCTGTGTATAAAAGCCTCTGTGTGTAAAAGCTTCTGTGTGTAAAAGCTTCTGTGTGTGAAAGTGTTGTGTGTAAAAGCGTTTGTGTGTAAAAGCGTCTGTGTGTAAAAGGGTCTGTGTGTAAAAGTTTCTGTGTGTAAAAGCCTCTGTGTGTGAAAGTGTGTGTGCGTGTGTAAAACGCATCTGCGTGTAAAAGTGTCTGCGTGTAGAAGCGTCTGTGTGTAAAACCGTCTGTGTGTAAAAGCTTTTGTGTGTAAAAGTGTCTGTGAGATCTCGAGAATTACATTGTGACAATGTCAGTGTTTGTTGACGATGCAGTGGATCTATGTGATTTATGGCACAAAAAAATATGTGATCTTTGCATTGAAATGCATGAGCAGTGGACAAAAAAATACTACGGGAATCATTGTACTGTTCAATTTTGTACCGTTCAATTTTGTTTTGTTCTCAAGCATGTCATGGCATTGTTTTGAACTCAAGCGAACAGATATGCATGTCTCGGAATTTTCTGAATGCAACATGTTTGGTTGAAGTCACGCACCCGTGACGTTTGTGGACGTTTTGTGGTCTCTGTTTCATTTGCTGACGGGAATGTCTGTGCGAATGGTGCATGCGACCGCGTCATTCGCGTCGTCCGCTGCCGTGGAAATTTGGTTGCAGAGGCATTGCGAGATGATGCAAGATGGTGTTGCCGAGCTGCTGAGTTTTTTGTTTTTGAGCTTTGTTAAACTTTTTTTTTGTTGATGCGTTCAGCCTTTAGTTTGCAGGTCTCTGCGACAGTGGTTCTTTGCCATGTCAAACTCATGAGTGGTGGTCTCAGTTTGGAAGTCAGCGAACAAATCCTTTGCAGTGGATTGTGCAACTCTGCAGCGACAAGCATAGTTTACCTCTTTACCTCTTTCCTTGGCTCAGATGTGAACGTCGAGACAAGATGCATTGTGTACAGAGTGAACATCCAGATTCTTATATGTACGCTGAATGTTCGTGAAACAAGTGACGATTGGCAAACAGGTATCTTGAACATTTCTTGGACTTCTCGAGGTTTCTGTGGGGGCTGTCCGTGAGATCTCGAGAATTGCATTGTGACAATGTCAGTGTTTGTTTATGATGCAGTGGATCTATGTAAGTATAGCACGAAAAAAATATATGTAATGTTTTCATTGAAATGCATGAGCAGTGGACAAAAAATACTACGGGAATCATTGTACCGTACAATTTTGTGGTCGCTGTTTCATTTGCTGAAGGGGATGTCTGTGCGAATGGAGCATGCGACCGCGTCATCCTCGTCGTCCGATGGCGTGGAAATTCGGTTGCAGGAGCTGCGTAGCAGTGCTGTGACCAGGGGTCGTGAATGGCTCCAGGATGCCCTGGCAAACATTTCAGTCATGGAGCTTCGCAAAATGGCGCATGCTCGAAATGTTGGCCGTGGACCGGACAACAAGTGGCTTGCGGTTGGAGAGCTACGCGCTCAATTGCTGGATGTCTTGGCACCACGCATGCAGGTCCGGTGGGGCAGAATAGGATTGTGACGAAAGTTGCGTGTTTGTCACATGTTGTAGGATGATGGCGGTTTTGTGGTGGCAGTGTGTCGGATGCTGCAGGTGGAAGAGGTATCGGCTGCCAAATTGGAAGAACTTCGCCTTGGGGCTGTTTCACAGGGCAGAGAGTGGCTCAGTCGTTCTTTGGACGAAATGCGAAAAGAGGAGCTTCGAGTCCTGGCTACTGCGGGTGGTGTGGAGACACGATCCGGCAAGGCTTGGCTGCCTGTAGCAGAGCTGCGCAACTCGTTGATGAAAGTCTTGGAACCCTCCACGGAGGTTGGGTTCAATCACAAAATGTGTTGTGACATGAGTTGTTTTTGTGACCGAGTTTGAATGTTTGTCACATGGTGCGATATTGTAGAAAGATGGCGGTTTTGTGGTGGCAGTGCGTCGGATGCCGCAGGTGGAAGAGGCATCGGCTGCCAAATTGGAAGAACTTCACCTTGGGGCTGTTTCACAGGGCAAGGAGTGGCTCAGTCGTTCTTTGTCGGAAATGTCAGCTCGTCAGCTTCGAGTTCTGGCTGCTGCGGGTGGTGCGAAGACGAAGTCTGACGGGAATTGGCTGCCTGTAGCAGAGCTGCGCAACTCGTTGATGAAAGTCTTGGAACCCTCCACGGAGGTTGGGTTCAACCAAAAAATGTGTTGTGACATGAGTTGTTTTTGTGACCGAATTTGAATGTTTGTCACATGGTGCGATGTTGTAGGATGATGGTGGTTTTGTGGCGGCA